AATAAAATAGTTTCGCAGACCAAACGGGTGTCATATATTTCTTAGTTTATTTGATCGAGTCTCATCCTCAAGTCTTGTATTTATCCCTCGGGATAGATACAGGGTTTGAGGTAGAGTGCTCTTTCATTTAAACTGTGAAAAATATGGGGTCAGTTTGATTTTCATATTTTTCTAAACTTAAACTATATGTAAATTAAAGTGTCCTTTCGAAGCGGGCGACGGGATTTCGATTCCGGTGACCGACAGCTTCCTACGGGCAACTCCACCACACCTTTCAACTTTTTATCGCCGACAATCATATATTCTTATCCTTTCAAGTATGAAAGATTATTATTTTATGTCATTGATTTTATCCCTTTTTTAATGACCGCTTGAATAACTCAAGTGTGTTGATTGGGCGCTCTTTTTATTCTTCATGCAGATTTTTATCATAAAGCAAGGCTTTGCATTCTAAGATTATTTCATTGACTTTTTTGTATCACTAGGCCTCATTTTAGGGACTGAGACATTTTGAAAAAATAAGACAACTTAATTGATAGAATTAAAAATATATTTGCCTTTCTTAAAAGAAGAGCTGATAAATATGTCATCGGATATTTTCTCACTTGAAAAATTAGCATAACAAAAAGCTGACAAATATACTAATCTCTTGGTCTAATATTTACTATAAGAGAAACTCTCAATGGACTTCATATTAAGAATATCAAGAACTCTTATAGACCTGATAGTATTTTTGTTAATGTTTATAGGTTCTCCAAAATAATACTTCTTATATTGCTTAAAACCTAGTGATGAGAACAACTAGATTTATCATCAATAACTACTTTAGAGATGGATGACGATTTGTTTCATATTTTAAAAAAATTTATAAAAATTATTTGGGATACATTTACCCTTTTTTTTAACATTACACCACCAAATTGATAGTTGAATGGAAGTTTTAAATTTACCCTCAGGTAAATCACTAAAGTCTTTAGTGAATAACGTAATTCATTAAAGTCTTTAGTAAATAAGAGCACTATTCTTTTGAGCGACTTCTAAATACTTATGAGTTCACATATAGCAACACAATTTACAGAATCAATTAAAAAATTCCTTTTAACATTATAAATGGCTACAACCCAAATAAACCTATTAATCTATCAAATACTTCCACTCATTCTATTTTAGATGTTGTAATCACCATTTAATAAATTTTTTATGGTTTCTATGAATAAGTAAAACAATAAAACTAATTAAATAATAATAATATAAATGCAAATATAGTAAAGTTTAAATGCTTGCCTTAGGAATAAAATAAGATGATCATATCTTAAATTGAATCTTATCCCAAGTATTAATCTATTAAAAATAGTAAGTTTTCTGCCTGAATTTACATCCCATCAAAATTTCTAAAAATGTTTAACCAAATGCTTATCCCTGATAGCCTTATGATACGTACACAAGTCATATTTTTATTATTAAAATATTTTGACCTATGAGAGAATTCTTGTCCCTCATGATTTTTATGATAGCCAAATTATGTCAAAGTTTTGAGAAAAATAGGCTGAATTCTAAATAGGATCGATGCATTTTCCCTTTGCTTTCATTCCATTAAATAATAATCTTACAATTTATTTTAGGAACAAAATATTCTGCATAATCTATTTTAGGTAATCTAATAATACATATTCCTAATCAAATATTTAGCTAAAAGGGAAATAAATCATAATAAAAATATTGAAAATAATTTAAATAAGAAAGCTCCTAATTATAGAAAACTCCTAATTTAGCTGTCTGATTTCCGTCCTTTCAGATTGACATCGCCCCTCAAATTGATGCTGACTGATCAGGAAGCATCAATTTGCCAACAAAAAACTGATAACACTGTCGAGACCAAAAATCCTCAAGCAGTGAGTGTCGAAGCCGAAAGTGTCAAAGCCGAGAATGTCGAAGCCTAAAAGTGTCGAAGCCTAATATCTATGGTTTGCCGAAGCTGAAGCCATCGATCTAGGAAGGAGTGTCAAAGCTGAAGCTGAAGCTGATGAAGCAAAGCAGTCGAAGATGCCACAGAAGCAGTGATGCCTAGCGAAAGATGTCTAGCGAAGAAGATCTGAATCGGACGAATAATAATACAAACATAATAGCCCTTTTCAACCCAAGAATCCTTGTATTCCACAATGAATTGATTTTGCACTTCAGAATAAGTTCCATCTCTTGGCAAGCAGATCTATCTGACTGTCGATCAAGTTTGATATTCTTCAAGACATACTTCTTTTTTTCCACCTCGTTCCTCACGAGAAGAGTAAAGAACAACAAAAAGAAGAAACCAGACCAACGCCGCAACTCGAGGTGGCAAAAAGCTTAAAAGGAAAGCATGATTGGAGATCCCCTGATGGCGTTGTTGAGTTGCTGGGCTCCTCGCAATTCCATAAGATGAGTCCACCTCTTGTGAATATCAGCAGCTACTCAAACATATTCGGTACCTTCGCCAACGATTTCGGGTAGCAGAGGACCAGAGCTCTAAGGTCGGCGCGAGGGAGGAGAGCCGCAGCTAGGGCAGAGACGACGGTTGACGAGGAGAGTCGGAGCTAGGGCAGAGACGCAGGGACGAGAGGAGATCACGGCTATGCCCCTAAACGAGGAGATCGCAGGTTCACGAGGAGGGTCGCAGCTACGGCAGAGACGACGCGACGAAGTGGCGAAGTGGCGCGACAAGCTGAGTCGTCACTAGGGAAGTGCTGCACGATGGACTGCGCGGCTCATAAGGCAAAGTTTAATTGCAGCAGAGAGGATCGTCGGTGATCTGGGAAGATCACGCTATGGCAGAGGTGACGAGAAGACCGCGACTAGGGCAGAGGCGACAAGAAGATCGCGGCTAGGGCAGAGAAGCAGTGGGTTTCCTTCGACTCCACTGTGGATCGAAGATGTCGCAAACTAAGCAGACGAAGGAGGAAGATGTCGCAGAACTCAAAGAAGGAAACGAACGAGCGCTCCCGGTGAGCAGGCGAGGATCTTGGTAGCAGTCGAAGATGCCGACGAAAGATATTCTAGTGCTGAAGACTACGAAGGATTCATGCTGATTCAACGTCGCTCTGATACCATGTCGAAGTTTTGAGACAAATAGATTGAATTCTGAATAGGTTTGATGCATTTTCCCTTTGCTTTCATTCCATTAAATAATAATCTTACAATCTATTTTATGTACAAAATATTCTGCATAATCTATTTTACATAACCTAACAATAAATATTCCTAATCTAAATATTCGGCTAAAAGGGAAATAAATCAGAATAAAGATATTGGAAATAAGTTAAATAAGAAAGCTCCTAATTATAGAAAACTCCTAATTTAGCTGTCGGATTTTCGTCCTTCCTGATTGACAAATCACAAGAAACATAACTTGCATCTTGCAACTTTTGCATACTCTTATAATTCTTGAATGCTCATAACATCGTTTAGATAAATTCTCTCTCTATAATAAAATGCATCACTTAAATTTTTTGTTAAATAAATAAATTAACCCCTTTCTTGATGCACTTGGATGACAAATGTAACTCTAAATAATTGGATGATTAAATGTACTTTATCTTATTAGAGAAAAGTTCATTCAATGTTTGAAGCAATCGATGCAGCACAAACATAAAGGCAAAAGTCAATGTCAAAAATTAATGCATTATATCAAGATTTAGGTTAATATAAAGCCATGAATGATCTCTATTCTGTCCAAATCTGATGATAAATAATAAAGAAGCTTGATTTATAGTCTTTTGATGTGCAGTTCGGCCCCACCAATCAAGCATAAAAAAAATTTAAGAGATTGCTTGATTTTAGGATCATTTGAGCGGACTTACTTGATTTAGTTGAATTTTTTTACTTATATAAGTTTTAAATTTTATATTATTTATCTCTTAAAAAAATCATAAATTCATATAATAGTTGTTCATTTAATCTAAATGCTTTCTAAATTTGTTGAAACAAGCCTATTAATATGATTTAACTTTATCTTTTGAATTTATAGAATAAAAATTATATTTTGCTACTAATAAATTCTTACAAATGGTGGTTATGTTGGCTGCTCTACCATTTGATGAATTTTTAAGGAAAATCTTCAAGGAATTTAATGAACCCTAAATTATATGTTCTCTTTTCTATTCATCTCTCTTAATATAATCCATTTTTTCTCATACTAGGCTTGGCCAACCCTAGAGTATGGACACTCTCAACTCCAAGATGTCTCCAATTTTATAAAACTAGTAAAGCTTCAACCATACCACTTATCAAGTTTCCAGTATCTTATCACCTTATGAACTCCAATGTACCCTAGCTAAAAGCCGATATATAAAAATAATTTCGAAATTTGTGCAATTAGATTAAAAAAAGTAATTGTTAACAGCCAATTTAAAACTTATTAAAATATCAACATTAATACCCAAACATCAAAAACTTTTATCTGGAGATCCAAGCCACACTCAAAAGTGTTACGAACAAATTAGAAAAGTCAAAAGATGCCACACACATTTTGTGTAGCCATAGAACCATCTATTTAGCAAGGAAATATACAAACCACTCAAGTACCACTAAATATAGTTTGCAAGAACTTTAAGCATCACAAGTCGTTAAAAAGAAAGAAAAATAAAATCTGTTGATGTGTTTACAAAATTGCTACCACTAAAAGTTTGAGGCTTTGAAAATCCCTAATAAAACTTTATGAATGATGATATTGAGGTCGAAGACAAAAACCTCTATCAATATTCAAATTTATAACATGAGATTTATTTGATGCACTGCTTTAATGAAGATTAGATAAGTATTTGATCTGTAATAGTGGATGTATGTGGATCTAAACAAACTTTGTAATCATGTGTCATGTGTTTGATTTCTTTATTTTATTTGATTTTTGTTCAAAATTTCCAATAATATAAGCATTTATTAGGAAAAAATAATTGAAAATGAAGAAATATTTGCTATACTGAATTTATTTTTTTAAGAAGAATAAAGATGGAGTTGGATTTCTATACCTTCAGCACTTAAGAATATAAAGAAAACGACATATGTCCATAGTGGAAGGCTGCATTGACCAAATCAAAAGATTTTAATATATGGGTGAGAATAATGAAGGTCGGAACATTGTATTAGCTGTTGGTAGAATTTACCTGATGGTCACTACCGCCTTGAAGTCATTATCAAATGTTCTTCGTAGAAACTTATGAAAGTTGTAAGCAGTATTTGTGCCAAGGTGCGCCTATCACAAACAAAATATGTTAGTATGAAATGGAGTGCAAACATTACTCTCAAGTCCAAAAGATTTTAAAAAATTAGAGAAAATGCAATGTATATGTAATTGGAATTTGTGTTTGATTTGCATACAATCAGAAAATATTTTGACTTACTAAGGATTATTTGGAATCACTTTTATTTTTATTTAAAAAATTGGAATTATCAATTTTTTATTACTTTTATATTTTAAGAAAAATTGAATTAATATTTAAATAAATAACCAAAACTACTTATGTGTGTTTTGAATGTTTTTCATAGTTGTTGTCGCCATCATCGCCGTCATTGGTTGCAACCACCAGCATCTGCCATCACCTCCACCACCAAAAGAAGCCACCAAATTTTGTAAAGCACAAAACAAATTTTATTTCATGTTGAAGTATAAACAAACACAACAACAACAAAGCCTTAATCCCACTACGTGGAGTCGGCTACATGAATCATTTTTCTCCATTGCGTCCTATTTAGTATCATATTTTCATTTAGTTCTAATAAATTAAGATCATTTTCTATACAATAAGCCCAAGTCTTCCTAGGTCTACCTCTTTCTTTCTTAACATAAGTCGAATCTAAAACATATACTCTCCTAATCGAATCATCAGATGGTCGACGCTTAATGTGATCAAACCATCTAAGACGACTTTCTCTAATTTTGTCTGTCACATGAGCTACACCAACCCTATCACGGATATATTCATTTTGCATTTTGTCTTCAAGTGTAAAGCCACCCATCCACCTAATCATTCTCATCTCGGAAACACTTAACTTAGTATTATGCTTCTCTTTTAAAAGCCAACATTCAGCGTCATAAAGCATTGCAGGTCTTATAAAATTTTCCTTTCAGTCTAAGCAATACTTTTCTATCACACAAAATGCCCAAAGCATTCCTCCACTTCAACCAACCTACTTGAATTCTACTATTAACATCCCCATCTATATCACCATCGCTTTGAACAACAAACCCGAGATATCTAAATTATTGACACCTTTTAACAATTTGATCACCCAAAGTTACACTTCTGTCACTAGAGCTATTATTAATAAAATTACATTCCATGTATTCAGTTTTAGTTCTACTCAAATGAAAACCTTTAGACTCCAATGTAGACCTCCATAAATCAAGTTTTTCTTGGGCATTTTCTCGTCTTATCCACGAGAAGGATATCATCAGCAGAAAGCATACACCAAGGTACATCTTCTTATAAATGTCCAGTAAGACCATCCATAACTAAAGCAAAAAGATATGGGCTTAAAGCCGATCCCTGATGTAATCCAACAAAAAAAGGAAAATAATTGGTCAATCCTCCTTCAGCTCGAACACAAGTAATAGCTCTAGTATATATATCTTTAACGACTTGAATGTAAGTCATATCAACACCTTCCTTCTCAAGAAATCTCCAAAGAATATCTCTTGGAATCTTATCGTAAGCTTTTTTTAAACCAATAAAAATCTAATGCAATAAAAAATAAAAATCTAATGTAGATTCTCCTTATTATCTTTGAACTTTTCCATCAAGCTTCTCAATAAATGTATAGCTTCCATAGTGTAGACCTATATAGTAGACCTCCCCGACAAATCCAAATAGATTATGAGAAATCTTTATAATAAGTCTTAACCTATGTTCAATTACCCTCTCCCATAATTTTAAAGTATGACACATCAACTTAATTCCTTTATAATTTGCACACTCTTATGCAACCCCTTTATTCGTAAAAATGGGAACCAAAATACTTTTCCTCCACTCCTCGGGCATTTTTTTAGTTTTTAAAATAATATTAAAGAGTTTAGTAAGTCAATAAACTCCCAAATCTCCAAAACATTTCCATACTTCAATTGGGATATCTTCAGATCCTACAGACTTTTCACCCTTGGTTTTCTTTAAAGCTTCCTCAACTTTTTTTTACTAATGCGACGGTAAAAATTAAATGTTGTATTATTATTAGTGATATTAAGATCATTAAGGTCGATCATATTTTCAAAAACTTCATTAAGAAGTTTATCAAAATAACTCACCCACCTATGTTGAATATTTTTTTCTAAGAAAATCACTTTTTGATTTTCATCTTTAATACACTTTACTTGTGTTAAATCTTTAGATTTTCTTTTCTCTTTGTTTGGCTAGTTTATATATATAATTTTCACCTCTTTAATATCTAATCTATTATAAAGATTATTAAAAGCAGAATTTTTAGTGTCACATATTGTTCTTTTAGACTCCCTACGGGTCGTTTGATATTTTTCTCAGTTCTCTAAGCTGTTACATTTAAACCAATTTTTATAACATAATTTTTTATATTTTATCTTTTCTTCCACATTATTATTCCACCAACAACTATTTTTATTTAAGGAAATTTTTCTTTTGATTCTCTAAGTACATCTTTTGCTACTTGTTTAATAGTGTTTGTTACATTATCCCACAAAGCATTTGCTTCATCATAAACTCCCCAAATTTTGAAATCTTAAATTTTACTTATAAAAATAATTTTATTTGTGTCTTTTAGATTCACCATCTAATTCTAGGATGATGAGTCTTAGTATTCTTTCTTTTACAATTATTCATCCTAAAATCTAGAACTAATAAACGATGTTGGGTACTTAAATCCTCACTTGGAATGACCTTATAATCTTTATGGTCTCGACGATCTCTGCTTCACATAAGAAAATAATCAATTTGTATTTTATTAGATCCATTCTTATAAATAATAAGATGAAATGCTCATCTCTTTTCTTGAATAAAGTATTAGTAATAACAAAATCATACGCTATAGAAAAATCTAAAATAGCTCTACTTTCTTCATTAGTCATTCCAAAATCGTAGCCACCATGAATATTTCTAAAATCTTCCATCACTCTACCGACATGTCCATTTAAATCTCCTCCAATAAATATTCTTTCTTCGTGAGGTATCATTTGTATTAAGTCTTCTAAGTCATTCCAGAATTTATCTTTAGACACTAAATCTAAACCTACTTGAGGAGCATAAGCACTTATAATATTCAAAATCTTAATATCAATGATAATCTTAAGGGCTATAATTCTATCTTCAACGCTATTATTTTTTACAACATTATTTTCAAACTCTTACCTATAATTACACCTACACCAATTCTATTGCGACTCTTATCAAAATATCAAAGTTTAAAACCTAAGTTATCAATCACCTTAGCCTTTTCTCCGACCAATTTAGTTTCTTGAATACATAAGATATTAACCTTTCTATGTAACACTGTCATTGCCAGTCACAAGCCCAAATGTGAAAAGTGGAGGGTTGTGTTAGGTAGTTGGCAGCCAGCGTAAAACTTATCAAAAAAAAATCATAACATGAATCTTTTTTATCTGTGTTAAAGTATAAACATAAAATTAAAAACATAAATTTATCACAAAGTCTTCTTAAAAAAAATACACATGTAGGCATTGGAAAAAAAATGCATTTTTTCTTAGCAACTACCAACCTGCTTCGGTAAAAATATTAAAAACTAAAAACTATAAGAGTCATTATTTTTAACAAAAGAAATAAAAAATGTATGAATCATTATTGTTGTGACTCACATGTAGAAAGGTCAATTTTATATAAATTGTAATAAATAATATGATATGAAAAGTTTAGCAATAAAACAAGTAGATGAAAATCTAACCTCAATTCAATTCTATTATTTCTATTTTCATTTTCTCCACATTTCCATTTTATCAATTCGTTCAAACCAAACACAACCATATGATTCGAACTTTTTCTTAAACGAGTTAGATAAAATGCTTCAGAAGTCTTGCACTTCACACCCTTTTTAATCACGATAGGAACTTACATTAATAAAGCCTCTTCGAAGGGCAAAATAATCAGCTTTTGATACTGAGCCCGTGAACTGTCTCAGAAGGCAAACCTGCAGAAATAGGAAAAGATGCAGATTTAGATCTAGTGTATACATCTTTAAATCTTTCCACACAACTATTTTTTTTTTAAATATTTTGTTCAATATCTAGAAGTAAAAAAGAAAAATGAAAAACAATGACACAACGAACAATTTGTTCAATTAAGGTGCAAATTTGTTAAATTTTAAATTTGAAAATGTGCACTAAAAACACGACATCATAAATCTTGAGGAAATCAACTCCAATGATTAAAGTGTACAATGCATGAGCCAGAAATGTCCATCAGCTCAGTTCCCATAGAGCACCGTGCAAAAACGATCGACACAGTATAGAAGCTGATCGGTCAACGAAGGCCCGCCAGTCAAAGGTTCAGCCGGCTGACAAGTAACTTCAGTCAGCTGGAAACTTGAACCCGAGAGAGCCTGCCGAGCGACCACTTGCCAACCCAAAAATTATCGACCACAAATGGCTAATCGAAAAGAAGGGCCAAGCGGAATACTTAGTTATTTATTTATCCATTTACATGTGCATTTAAATCTTTATTTATTTTTACCATAACACCTCGTAGTGTCGCTATTAAAGCAAGGGCAAGCAAGTAATTATAACTTTTGTATCCCACTTTGCTTATAATTAGGGGGTAATTTCTACAGTAAAAGGCTAATGAATCAGTGGTAAAAAAGGCTCTAAAATCATTAATCTACTGTGCATCTCTATCTCTCTCTCTCTATCTCTATCTCTATCTCTTGTTTTATGCTCAATTTCTTAGGTGAGAAACATAGGATGAATTCAAATTCAACATCATGAATGGTGCAGTGAGCATGTAATAATGTCACCAATAAGAAGAGCACCACACTAAGAAGAAACTCATCTTAGAGACACGTAAAATATAGACTGGACTAGGGAGTTTGTTCAGATATAGATTCAAGAACTGCGAGACCAGATATTGGGTCAGATGGTGGGGTTGACCTGAGCAGTCCTCGGAGGAAGAGAACAAGTTTCACGAGAGCAGAACCCTTAGGAGGAAGAACTCGAAACCGAAGGCCATCGAGCGGCTTAGGGGACAGAAAGATTTGCAAACTCCCAGTACTAGGACAGTGTTGGATTTGCATCAATGAGTAAACAGAGGTTTGAACCTGTTGAGGCCCACATATAGCCGAAGAATGCATTCTTCCAGCAGATTTTTGACGTCAAACCATCGAAGAAATTCAAGATTCCTTTACTCAAGTCAGATAAGGGTTAGACTGATCTGACCAACCATATCGCTTCTTTTGAGTTGGTCGTCTGCCTTCTCTGGATCATTGAAGCATTGAAGTGCCAACTATTTTATACTACGCTAAGGGAGTCAACCTTTAGGTGGTTCAACAACCGATAGTAGTGATTGCCTCCTTTGCTGATTTTAGGAGAATGTTTCCAGCATCGCTTGCTAGCACCTAGAGCGCCAAGAAGAGCTCACAAGCTTTATGACAAGTTAAGCAAGGGCAAAAATGAGAGCTTTTGCTCTTGCATAACCAGATTCAAGCAGAAGATGTTGGAGGTGAAGGATCTGAAGCCTGGGGTGACGCACACTGCCTTGACCCAATGGCTGAGGGGAGAGAGGTTTCAATACAACCTCGGTCGATAGTAGCCAAAGACCCTGACCGAGCTATTGGAGATGGCCAACAACCACATCGCAGCCGAAGAAAGTGTCGGCAACTTCCACCACAAACATGAACAATCAAATTGTCGCCCATATAAGAGAGGCTCGCGGGACAACGGGTGGAGACCAAAAAATGGCCCGTGTCCTTCCAACCGTCGTCAATATGAAGATAGTTGGCTATCCTAAGACAATAGAAGGGCCAGGCGAAAACACCAACCTGGAGACCAAACGAGGAACCATGACAAGCAACTTGCTAGTTTTTATGAGTGGCGAGCAAGTGATCACAGAGCACCAAACATGACCCCTTTGAGTCTTGCCATGATAGAGATTGTTGAGAACATTAAGAATAAGGAATACTTCAAGCAGACTGCCCTGATAAAAACTAAAGCCTTTCTTCAAGATCGAAAAAAGTTCTAAAAGTGCCATAGAGAGCATAGCCATGACACAGAGTGCAGGCACCTCCGCGGCCAAGTTGAAGAATTAATCTGAGTTGGCAATCTTGAGGAGTTTGTAGCACCCGTGCCAGCTACCAGAAAGTAAGGGAAGGCTCCAGTTGATGAGGTGTAAGGTGAACCATTCAGAGCAAATGACATCCACATTGTTGGGGTGGGTAGTACCGACAATATTAGGGGGGAGATGGGTATTACTCCCAACATGCCAGTCAGAAAAGGCTCTGACAGGAGAATCGTACGCGACAGTCTCAACACCAAGGTGCAACCCCTACCAACTAATCACTTTCACAGATTTTAATTTGCCAATGAATGGCGACCCCTTTAATGACGTCATCGTTGTTACCGCTTTGATAAACAACTACTAGATTGGTAGTATCATAATCGACACTGGTAGTTCTATGAATATCCTATTCAAATTGATGTTCGACAAAATGAATATTTTGATCAACCAGTTGGTCGCACCGGACTACCCTCTCTATAGTTTTTCCATAGAAAGAAAGGAGGCCTTGGGAGTCATCCCGCTCGTGGTCACCTATGGGAAGGTGACAAACAATTCACCTACATGGAGGATTTCTTGGTGGTAGACTCGTCGTCTACCTGCAATGACATCTTTGGGCGCTCACTGCTTAACAACTTCAGAACTATGGTTTTGACATACCATGTCTCGGTGAAGTTTCCAAGCACGGAAAGGTCATCACCTGCGTGGAGGATTTCTTGGTGGTAGACTCGCCGCCTACCTACAACGTTATCTTTGGACGCCTACTGCTTAACAACTTTAGAACTATGATATTGACATACCACATCACGGTGAATTTTCCAGGTAACTGAGAGGTCATTACCGTGCGGGAGAACTTAGAGCACTTTCGAACCTACTACCTCCGAGCAGTTAGAGCATGGAGCAGGAGCCATTAGAAATCCAAGACTAACGAAAGGGGGCTCTCTGGACCAGCTAGGCCACTCTAGAAATTCCTACGAATAATAAAGAGCCCAATAGATCTTTTCTAAATATCGAAAATTTTGATGCAAGGCATAAGAATTTGCTAGTCCACAATCTTCAGAGTCATCAAGAAGTATTTGCCTGGTTCACTGCAAAAATGACAGGCATCTGCCTAAACGTTAGCTCAACCATCCGGCTGATGAAGTAGAAGATAAGGCCCTCTTCTATGAAGCTAGCCAAGTTGATACACAAAGAAGTGCGGAAGCTGAAGGTGCTCATCTCATCCAAAGGTGCAGTGCCTGTCCTGGGTCTTCAACGTGTTGATGATGCGAAAAGCGAACGATAAGTGAAGAATGTGTGTGAACTTCACCAATCTAAACTTCGCTTGCCCGAAGGACAACTTTCTACTGCCAAGAATTGTTGCCCTAGTAGACTCAATGGTCGGCACTTTTATGATGATCTTCCTGGATGCCTTCTCCAGCTACCACCAGATCAAAATGCATCCAGCTGGCGTGGAGAAGACAGCATTTCTTACAAGTGATAGCATGTAATGTTATAATGTAATGTCTTTTGGACCAAAAAATGTTGGAGCTACCTACCAGCATTTAATGGATGTAATATTTTCAAATCAAAAAGAAAAAGTATTGAAATATATGTGGATGATTCTTAGTTAAAAGTCGGTCTACCGAACAGGATATAAAAAATTTAAAAAAAACATTTCAAACACTAAAATAATATAACATCAAACTCAATCCACTAAAATGTAAATTTGGAGCCTTCACTGGAAAATTTCTTGGTTATCTCTTGACCCTTGAAATAATAAAGGCAAATCCGAAGAAAGTGTAAGCACTTCTGAACATGTCATTCCCAGGGAATATTAAGGAAGTCCAGAAATGGATCGGTTGTATAGCAGGACTCAATTGTTTTGTCTCGAAGTCTGGCGACAAATGCTCAACTTTTTTAGAGATACTGAGGAAGACCAAAGGTTTGGATTAGTCGAAGAACTATGAGCAAGCATTAAAAAACCAGAAGGATTCCCTGGCAACGTCGCCACTCCTTTAGAGTCCAAAGCCTGGCAAAAAACTCTCTTGTACTTGAGAGTGGGACCCGAGGTCGTCGGTCTGTATTGGTTAGGGAGGACCAAGAATGCAATTCCTTGTTTACTCTACCAGACGGGTGCTTCAGAACGCGGAACTCAGGTACTCAATTATAGAGAAACTAAATTTGTTTTGATTATCTCTGCCGGTAGGCTTCAAACATACTTCCATCACACTTGAATCAGGTCATTACCGATCACCCACTAAAGTCAGTTCTCACTCCGTCGAAGCACTCCGGTTGGCTTTAAGTGGGCCATGGAGCTGAACGAATTCAATCTATCATACATCCCCAAAATAGCTTTCAAGGCAAAGACAGTAACAAATTTCCTAACTGATTTTTCTGAACAACCCGGACTTAATGAAGGAGTTGACACCAGCGGCAAAACATGAGTTTTGCACACAGATGGGGCCTCCAATCAGACAGGATGGTCTGACACAGAGTAGTCTCACTAGGGAGCACCTCTATCATTCAGTTGTCCTATAATTTAAAGTTATCAATGATCAAACAAAGTATGATGCCATAATAGTTGGCTTGCTTCTGGCATACGAATGGGTGTTCGGTGCCTCCTGATGAAATCTAATTTGCATCTGGTGGTGAACCAAGTTAATGTGGAGTTCAAGACGAGATGAAATGATGGTGAAATACCTCAGCAAGACTAAAATAAAGATCTTGAAGTTCGCTAACTTAAAAATTGAACATGTTAGTCAGGAGGATAATCAGGTCATCGATCTGATATCTAGATGCATTCCCCTGAGGGAGGGGACCCCCCAAAAATTAGTTAAGCCAACTATCAAAAAATCCGAGGTGATGAAAGTAGAATTCGAAGAAACGAAGAGCTGGGTAGACCCTTACATCATTTACTTGAAAGCAAGAAAAGTTGTTGAAGAA